TATATTACATAGATATATTAGCTGCTGTGGCTATAACAGCTGTCAGGGACAAGACATCTCAGAGATCAACTTAGTGATGAACAACTACTGGGTTATTTAGAATCATAAACTGCTTATGTCACAGATGCAGTAGTTTATTTCATATTAGCATACATTATAAAACAGTAATTTGCTGCTTGTAAATCCTGCAAGGATCTCCTCGTAATGATACCTTAAAAAAAATACATAGATTAAAACAGCACTGTAATTGCTGCTATGAAAAATTTGTGTTATCTGTTTTTAATTTATAAATTACTAGTTCTGTGATTTTAATTATATATTGTAATATTTGGCTTTCTTTTTTTCACCTTCAGGGATTAGGAGAGATACCATTAGATACTCCATCAGCCAAAGGAAGGCGTTCTCATGCTGGCAGTATTGGAAGTACAAGGTCATCCTCTGTTTCTAGAGATGTTCTCAATTCAACTGAAAGGCAGGATCATTTGATATATCATATAATTTGATTAATTATTGTGTGGAAATAATTTTTCTAACTTTTTTCTTGAACTGGTTTCCCCCAGGAGGACTGTAAAAATTGAATGGAATGTTAAAAGTTTAAGTACAATACACAAACTGTGAAGTAATAAGGCAGTTGTATATTTACAGCATACTTATTGTCACCAAGCAGTTAAGGCTTGGTTAGGTTTTTAAAACAAATATACTGGCAGAACATTTTGTTGCCCTCTTTTTACATAGCTTGAGGCTTAATATACTAAGTCTAAATTGTACCCCAAGAGTTTTTTTTAACCTTTGAGAAAGTACTGTGTTCTTTTTGATAACTGTAAAATTATATTGTTGAATAATAGTTCCAAGGCAACATGAAAAGGCATGTTTTGTGATGTATTCCATTATTTGTGCTATAGTACTGTTTTTATGGGACCTCTGGAGAAAACATTGTGTTCAAAAAAAATTTTTTTATAATTTATCAAAAAATTAATACTCAAAGATACTGCAGAAAAAAGGAGGATAGTTTTATGAATGTGTCCCTTAAGTTATACAGATGACTTATTTAAGCTTAAATAATATAACACAAAGTCTTACTTCATTGCCCTCTTGTTGGGGGGAGTGGTGACTATGGATTCTTGATGGCCATACCAGCAGAGTACAAGATTAGATAAGTTCATTGTACTGGAAGGGGTTCAGTTGTGTTTTTGGAAACAGGCTAGACCTGATCTCCAAGAACTAGCCTAATTAAACACAGAGAAATCATCAACAGCAGGCTGGCCACTTAGTAAAGAATTCTTTGACCATCACAACCCATGAAACAGATTACTCAGTCTTTCTGCTTCTACAGTGACAGTTGCAGAGTAGCTGAGAATTGCATGGTTTTTAGGTCATGTACAAATATTAATGTAGCTATTAGTACTGTAACATATGCGAGCCTGTCTGGTGACCAACAGAGGATATACAAGATGAACTCAATCTTATCAATCCTGACATTGTTGACATAAGTAAAATCAAAGACAGAAAGCAGTTGCAACCAGTTGAAAAAAATCACTTCTTGGAGAAGGAGTTTGTGGAATTTGTTGACCAGAAGCAACAAGTAACATTTAATGGGACATTTGTTCATCTAGTATTGAAATCCTTGTTACAAGTATTTACAAAAATACCACTGTGAAAGTAATTAAAGCTTCTATACCAATTTCAAAGGAAAAACAGGTAGTAGAGAAATTTGGTGAGGAACTGTTTAAGACCCTCAAGATAATAGTAAACAAATATTTATTAAGTTCCTACTATATGATCAGCACTGTGTTAGGTATTGGAAGAACTTATATTTGATTAGAAACTGTGTGTGTGTGTGTGCGTGTGTACATATATATGTGTGTGTGTATATATGTATATATATATAAATGTAAAATATATACAAAGTTGAAATATGTGTACATATTATATTCCAACTAGAGAAGTGAAGAAGTAGATTACCATACTGGAAGGGTGGGAGGCATTGTGGGTCTACATACCCAGGAAATGGATGTTTCTATTATTAACATCTTCCTTGACAAAAGATACAAAATTAACTCATCATTGATTTCTTTATTGGGCGAATGACCACTGGGTCGCAAGGATCCCTAGTGGTAGGATAGTCAGAATGGCAGCTGAGGAAGTGGTCATATTTGGGCTCGTTCTAATTGCCAAGGATGCCTTTAGCTTTTGGCAAAGTGTTAGGAGAATTTTGGGTAGTGGGTCATATAGGAACCTATGGGAAGAGAAATACAATCTAACAACTCTCAAACTGAACTATCCCTAAATCCTTTCTGAGGAGACTCAGATTAGTCTTCAAGGTAGATACACACACACGAATAAATGTCTAAAATATTCAACAAGGACCAAAATAATTTATCTTAAAAAAGAGACATTTATATTTCATAGTCTTACGATATCTAAGCTGCTCATTTTCCAACTCAGATTGTTTAGCAAAAGAAAATAGTCCTAAGTACACTTCTAGAGAAAGATATTCATTGCCACTAGCTCTTTATAGAGCACAATAGCTTTTAAAAGCTATATATACATTTATATAGGCATACTTCAGTACTTTAAGCACTTGTGATTTCATCAGTGTGGAAGGGCCCTCTACAATTAAATCAACTTAAAATTAAGTCAGCATATACTCTCATACTTGATTACTTCAATGCAAAGGAAGGAATAACAATTTATTTTAAAATATGATTCATGAGTGAGGAGTGAAAGAGACCAAGACTTATAAACATCACAGGAGCCTTACTCATTTAATAATGATAATTTTCTTTGAGGAAAAAATCAGAAGGCACCAGGCATGACAAACACCAAAGAAATTACAAAAAATGAAATTAGTTCTATTTTGACAGGAAATGATTGTATAGTCAAACGACTGACTTGTTAAAATAAAGATTAGAATTAATAAAAAGCTAGCAGCAGGAATAAAAATGAGGGGGGAAAAAGAATATGCATTTAAAACAACTCTAACCTGACCTACTGAAACAAATTATGGATACAAAAAATATTATGGGTAGATGAAAGGGGAATGAAATAAGCATTTATATAGTGCCTACTCCATGTCCAGCACTATGCTAAGTGCTTTACAAATATTACTTATTATCTTAACAACTCACGAGAAAGGTGTTGTTATTCTCATTTTATACCTGAGGAAAGTGAGGCAACAGGTTTCTTTGACTTGCCTAGGGTCACACAGATAGTAAGTATTTGAGGCTGGATTTGAACTCAGGTCTTCCTGGTCTATTCTGATTTTTTTCCTCAAAGAAAATTAGCATTATTAAATGAGTAAGGCTCCTGTGATGTTTATAAGTCTTGGTCTCTCACTCCTCACTCATGAATCATATTTTAAAATAAATTGTTATTCCTTCCTTTGCATTGAAGTAATCAAGTATGAGAGTATATGTTGACTTAATTTTAAGTTGATTTAATTGTAGAGGGCCAATCCACACTGATGAAATCACAAGTGCTAAAGTACTGAAGTATGCCTATATAAACGTATATATAGCTTTTAAAAGCTATTGTGCTCTATAAAGAGCTAGAGCCTATTGCTCTATCTGCTGTGCTACCTAGCTGCCTCTTAATGAAAGGATATCAATAGTGATTATAATTTGAACTAGAAGTTTAACCTATGAAAACTTTGCATAAAGAAGTCTAAAAAATCCCAGAAAATTACCTTAGTAAACACTTCAGTCATTTTTTAAGCAAAGAGATATGGCAGGCAAGGGCAACGGTAATTTAGAGTTGGAAAATCTTACAGGAAAGAATAATGGGGTGAAGGTATAGCTGCTGCAGCCTTGTGGAGTCGGCAGTCTCTGCCTCTCCTCCTCCTGACTCACCGATGTTAGCTCTCACTGAGGAATAAGCCAGTTAGGAAGCTGCTCCACTGCCGTGGCATTCAAAGACACCGGCAAGACCCTCGTGGAGCCCAAAGTGGCCATTCACCGGATCCAGATCACCCTCACCAGCCGCAGTGTGAAATTCTTCAAGAAAGTGTGTGCTGACCTAATTAAAGGAGCCAAAGAAAAGAACCTGAAAGTGAAGGGACTTGTTCAAATGCCCACTAAGACACTTTGAATTCCAACAAGAAAAACTCCTTGCGGTGAAGGTTCAGACTTGGGATCAGTTCCAGATGAGAATCCACCTTATTGATTTGCACAGTCCTTCTGAAATTGTTAAACAGATCACTTCTATCAGCATCGAACCAGGTGTAGAAGTTGAAGTCACCATTGCAGATGCCTAATCAATCATCTCTTTTAATAAATTGATTGCAACTATTAAAAAAAAAAGAATAATGGAAAATTTGAGGAGTATTTCTCAGAAAGAAATAATGCAATGTAAAGAAAGTCTGAAGAAAATTTGGCAAGAAGCCAAACTAAGCAAAGTCATCCTCAGATCATGCAAGAACAGACTAGTTAAAGGACAGCAAACAGGACAAAGTTGGAAAAGATCTTTAAAGGATTTTATACCAAATTCTTTTTATCAAAGACAATAGAACCACTACATCTCTATTCTTTAAACATCACCATACTAGATGAACTTACTGAGGAGGAAAAAGTGACTCCAGAAAGGACAAAAGCCAGCAGCAGGTCTAGACTAGGGTATGTCAAGGAGATACATGAAAGACAGAACGATTGTATGAACATTGAAGATCAATTTAAAAGTTATCTGAAGGAGGGGAGAAGATACCAAAGGCATGGTAAAAATCTGACCTCATCACTACCCAAGAAATGGCAATCCAGAGAATATAGATAACTACTAACCCATCTGCCTTTGTCTAGCTATATAAAAATTTTCCTGAGAATAGTCATTCAGTAAACATTTCTTGTGTGTACCAGGCACTGTGCTAGATAAACACTGGGGATGCAAAGAAGGGCAGAAGACAATCCCTGCCCTCAAGGAGCTCACAATCTGGAGACAGCATGCAAACACAAGCTATATACAGAATAAATTGGAAATAACCAACAGAAGGAAGAAAGTAGAATTAAGAAGGATTAGGAAAAGTTGCTTGTAGGTGGATTGAAGGAAGTCAATAGGTAGAGATGAAGAAGAATAAAATTCCAGGTATGAGAGACAGCCAGTGGAAATTCCAGGAGGTGGGAAATGGAATGTCTTGTTCAAGAAATAGCAGGGAAGCCAGTGTCACTGGGATGAAGAGCACTGGGGGGAGAGAGGGTTAAGAAGACTGGAAATGTAGAGGAGGCCTAAGTTATGAAGGGTTTTGGATGCCAGAGGAGTTTGTATTTGATCTTGGAGGAATAAACCATTGCAGTTTATTAAGGGATGTGGGGGAGCAACATGATAGGACCTGTGCTTTAGAAAAATCACTTTGGTGGTGGAATGGAGTATGGACTAGAATGGGGAGAGCCTTTTGGCAGCAGATCAACCAGCAGGCCATAGTCCAGGAGTGAGGAGATGAGGGCCTGCACCAGGGTGGGGGCAGTACCAGAGGAGAGAAGGGGGTGAATTTGAGAGATGTTGCAGAGGTGAAATTGGCAAGCTTTGGCAACAGATTAGGGGCATGGGGGTGGTAAGAAATACTGAGGAATTGAAGATGACACCTGGTTGTGAGCTTGGGGAAATGGGAGGATGTGGTACCCTTAACAGTAATAAAGAAGTTTGAAACTGGGGAGAATTTGGACAGAAAGATAATGAGTTTTTTGACTTGTTGAGTTTAAGGTGTCTACAAGATATTCTGTTCAAGATGTCCAGTAGGCAGTTGGAGATGTGAGACAAAGTCAGCAGAAAGTTTGGGACCAGATAAACTGATTGGAGAGTCATCAGCATAAAGATGATAATCAAATCCGTGAGAACTGATAAGAACACTAAGTGAATTAGGATTGGGGGGGAGTGTGGGCGGAAGGACCCAGGACAGAGCCCATGGTTAAGTGGAACGACCTAGATTGAGATCCGGGCAGAAGAGGCCCAGGAGTGGTCCGATAGGTTGGAGGAGATCCCGGAAAGAGTAGAGTCTTTCTTCGTATACTTTGTTCTTCCTGAGTGGATAGTTAAGCCAGAGTCATTCAAATGGTTCTGGAGCACATCTAGGAGGCTCTGCAATTTTCTGGGATTTCATACACTTAGCACCCTGTAATCCATAAATAGGAGCATCTGGAGAATTTCACCATGTGCAGCAGGAGTTCTTAATCCTGGGTCCAAGAGGCCCATGGATAGATTTCAAGCAGTCTGTGAAATTGGATGAGAAAAAAAAAATACATCTTTATTTTCACTAACATCTAACTGAAATTTAACATTTCCTTCCATTTTAAACACATTATTCTGCAAAGAGGCCGTAGACTTCACCAAACCACTATCCATCATCCAAAGTTAAGAATCTCTGATCTATGGGGACTCATTTAATCACTTATTTTTGGATTCTACTGCTAGAATTACCCTAAGGAAATCATTGACAAAAAGAAATACCCCCCAAAATTCTTACAGCAGTACTTTTGTGATATCAAAGAACTGGAAACAAAGTAGATGTCCACTGATTTGGAAACAGCTAGATAATATGTGGTACATGAATTCCACAACAATATGTAGAGTGATGTGTAAAGAGAAACAAAAAATATGACGAATACTGAAAATCATGGAAAGAATTATGTGAATTGATCTAAGAAGTAAGCAGAGTCAAGAAAATAATATAAATAATAACTACAACAATATAAATCTAAGAAAAAAAATTACCATAAAGTTATCAAAAATGAATGTTGTAAAATTACAAAAAAGGAGCTTGGCCACGTAGAAGCAATACAGAAAGATACCTCACCCTACTCCTTTGCAAAGGTGGGGAGTGCACAGGTGTGGAACGTTACATTGAATGTCAGATTATTTCAATGTATTGCTTGTTTTAGGTTTTTGGGGGGTTTCGTTTGGTTTTTTGTTTGTTTGTTTTTCAGCCAAAGACAAGGTTTTTTAAAAATCTGCCATATTGGCCAGATTCTTAAGAAATCTAAGCATTTGTATTGCTAATGCAGGCGGGCCCAATTTTAAGAATCTGAGCCCTTGGGTAGAATCTTAAGGAATTTGAGCGTGTTGATTGGTTTTGATGAAATTTTTTTTCTCCTCTTATTTTTACTTTTAAAAAATTCTTTGTTATGATAAATGGCTTTCTAGGTAGGAGGAAGAAGAGGAATACACATTTAGATAATAACAAACCAAATATTCAAAGTCATTTTTTCAAATCACTTCTCTTTGGAAATAGCCATATGTTTAGCTATGCTTCAATAGGTATACTAGAAACTTGCAGGTAACTGCTTTGGCGGCTATGATAATCATTGCCACCAGTACCTCTAGATGAAAAGCAATTTTTGTCAAAGTCATCAGTGCCTGTAGGATCATTTTCAGGATTAGTTATTCCTATTTAGTCACAGTGTAGAAAATAGTATACTGTCAAAAAGCCTTGGCCACAGTAGATTACGCTGTTTTCGAAAAAATTCCTCATTTAATATTTTTCCTGGCCTTTTTGGGAGGAGAGGATTCTTCCTTCCACCATTTAAAAGGATTTATGAGTTCTAATAAACTAAAGAAGCCTCAAAAGAAATTTCTTCCCCAAGACCAGGGGAACAAACCGTAGAGAGTTTTGAGAATCCTGGGAATATAATTGTTTATTATATATATATATATATATATATGTGTGTGTGTGTGTATTACTGTGGTAAGTGACTTTGCAGAAAATTAAGTATGCTAAATATGCTTCTCTTCTTTCCCATTAGGGAGACTATAGACATACGTGAAATAAGAAAAACCATTCCCCGCAATTCTTCAGAAAGTGCTGAATATATTAAAGTTATAACAGGTTTATTGAATGCAAAAGACTTCCGAGATCGAATTAATGGAATCAAGCAACTTTTATCAGACACTGAAAACAATCAGGAACTTGTTGTTGGAAACATTGTAAAGGTAATAGTATGCAAAAAGTATTTGCAGCAGATAAGCCTCACTCCCTCTCTGTGTAGGTGAATAAATAAATTTAAAATATAACTTGATAATTTTATCACATTTAACTTTGTTTTGAGACCATGAAAATTAAAACTAATTGGAAAAATAAGACTTAGAAAGTAAGCCTAATTTAGAAGAGAATAAGACATTAAAATGAATTTAAAATGTCTGTAGTAAAAATAATAATATGTGGAGAGGTCCAGTTTGTTCAGAAAAAGGAAACTCTTTATATGTGGTTTTAAAATTAATTTGTAACTGACCTTACTTCATGTATACTTGAATTTAAAGTATATGGTCATTGTGACATTGTTAGAATATTATGCAAATTACATTTTAGATAAAAATTTGTGACACTAAAATGAAAACATTACTTGTTCTTTCATTTGAAATCAATTTGATTCATCTTATTTTAGATTTAATATAATAAAGTAATTTAATATTTAAGTCAATACATGATCTCATCAGTGTGAGTAGTACTCCCTCCAATAAGGTAGACCTTACCTGCTAAGAATGGGCTTCTTGTTCTGTTTTATGACTAGAATTAAGATTTTAATGGAATTATAATACTGAAATAAAGAATGACTTATAAAGCTTTTTTTCTTTTGCATAAAGGGCTCAAAAAGATAGCTTTTAAATGCAAATTTTTAATATCTATACAGTTGATTAATAGCTTATGACCTAGCTTATTACCATGGGCAGCTAGGTGGCACAGTAGATAGAGAGCCAAGCCTGGAGTCAGGAAGACCGAAGTTCAGATCTGGCCTCAGACACTTACTAGCTATGTGACCCTGGGCAAGTCACTTAGCCCTGTTTGCCCTCAGTTTTCTCATCTGTAAAATGAACTGGAGAAGGAAATGACAAACCATTCCAGTATCTTTGCCAAGAAAACCCCAAACAAGGTCACAAAGGGTCAAACACAACTGAAACAACTCGACAACAAATATAGTACTTGAAGGTCTGCAAAACACTTTACATATATTAACCTTGTGAGAAACTACTGAAATCACTGAACAATAAACCTAGGTCTAATTTACATTTTTTAGAGTTCTAGCATTAGTGATTAAAATTTTTTTTCCCATCTCATTCAGTATCATTAACTCATTTATTTTCAGATCTTTGATGCTTTTAAATCTCGGCTACATGACTCAAATAGTAAAGTAAATCTAATAGCTCTGGAAACAATGCATAAAATGATTCCTTTGCTCAGAGATAACTTATCACCTGTAATCAACATGCTCATTCCTGCAATAGTGGATAACAATCTAAATTCCAAGAATCCAGGAATTTACGCTGCTGCCACAAATGTTATTCATGCTCTGAGTCAGCATATTGGTAAGAAATTTTCATTTTAAAGCTAAAAGAGAGTTTACATTTATACTTGAGAAAATGTTCCTACTCTTTTATTTCTCAATTTCTTTAAGCACATTAACCTAGTAAAGAACTTTAAATTAATTACTTGGTTTTGTCATTGTGTAAACTTTTCAAACATATCTACATTCTAGAAATAAATGTTTTTCTGCCTCTTAATGAAAAATTAATATTCCATAACTATATTCACTTTCTCTTTTATCCACTTTTATTTAGACAATTACCTACTTCTACAAACTTTCTGTACAAAAGCACAGTTTTTAAATGGAAAAGCAAAACAGGATATGACTGAAAAGCTTGCTGGTAAATATGTTGAATTTTCTGATGATATGAATTTTTAGCTGTTTACAATTGGTAACCAGTATTAAGAAACCTACCTGATTCAGTATTATTTTGCCTTAAAGTTGAAGCAAGCCACGCCCCAACAAGACTTTTTAGAATTTTACAAAGCATTTTTTAATGTTTTCTGTCTTCCTAATAAAGCTTTAAAAAAAAAAAAGAGTCCTTAAAAGAAGCCCTTATGAAGCCCTTTGGAAATTACCTGTAAGACAGAGAGTATGCCCTCTCAGTATTTTTACCGTTGTGACCCATGATTTAGAATGTAGCTTTATTTCTTTATAATGGAATACAATTTTCACTTGGAAAGGAGCATCTCAGAGTGAAGTTGGGGTTTGACTCCCTCGTTCCTATTCTTTCTGAAGTAAATTATTGTGCCAAATGTTGTAGTATGTCTTATTCTGTTACAAATTTTAAAGTGGTTTAATTTAAAATGTTGAGATGTTTTATTTTCATTCTTTAGTGAATTTTTATAACACTCTTCTATGCTTGTTTCATATTTCATATTGGAATGTGTTATATTTTAGATGTTTTTAATTAAAATGAACTGAATTACAACAGATATTTACTTATATACCATACGATTGCATTTCAGATCTTGTTATGGATCTCTATCAAAGGAAACCTCACGCAGTAGAACAGAAGGTGGTGGCTGTCCTCTGGCACCTCTTAGGCAACATGACGAACAGTGGCTTCCTACCTGGAGCTGGAGGGAATATCCGAACAGCCACAGCTAAATTATCAAAAGCACTTTTTGCACAAATGGGTCACAGTCTACTAAACCAGGCTGCATCTCAGTCACCACAGATTAAAAAGACTTTAGAAGAATTGCTTGAAATGACAACTTAAAATGAATTATGTATGTTACTCCGTTAATATGTAATGCAATAAGATAGGCTAAAAATACCTGTTTACATGAAGACAGATGGAGCCTTTTTAAAAGTTATATTGTCACAGTACCTACCCTTTTCATTTAGAAACTATCTAGAATGGCAGCTTTTGACAGCTTGCAAAGCACACCTCTGTTTCATACTAGCACTACTACTCATGATCAAACCTCTAACACACATGAAACAGTCAGTATAACACTCACAAATTCTATTTGAGAACACATGGAATGAATCCATCTTTAACATTTATGAGGAAAGTCCTGCTCATTTGCACTCCTCTGTAGAAACTGCAGTATGTTGCCCTATATGTACAATTAGATTTGTAATTAAAAATATACTTTTTATTATGTAATCATGTTCTGATATGTCTTATTACTTAGCCTTATTTTACAAAAGTGGAAAAGAAGTCATTGAAATATATGTACCACAAAGAGGGATTTGTTTGCTACTTGTAAAAAAAAACATGTATTTCTTAAATCAGTCCACCAATATGATTGTGCAGTATTAGCTTGCTATTGCTGATATCTTGATGTAATATATTTGATTAACTATTGGGCATTATCATCTATGTAACTGTAAGATTTAAATAACTTATAATAAAGCATGATGACAAATTTTTAGGAAACAGATTTTCAAATATTTCAAAGTACACGTTTATTTAAGAAAACGTGTTAAATATAACTTCCCTATCTTTGTGTGAAAACACTAAATTTTCTCTCTGCCCAACATTTATAAAGGTATTATATCTCTGCCCAGTTGTATAATCTTCAACAATAGTGCCAGGTATTCTATAGATTTTCTCAAGGTTATCCAGATACAAGTACTGTACTACATTTTAAAAAGGAAAAGGAATGTTATAAAATAAAGGGATTTATTTCTGTAGATGTGTGAGGTGTTGTTTTTCCCAAAAAAAAAAAAATGGAAATATAATCAAATGTTGTCTTGAGATTCATTAATTCTTTTTTTGGTTTCTGATGTTGAAAGTAATGAGCAGACTCACCTTCAAATCCCCAAAACATTCAGGACTGAAAAAGTATATAGATGCACTTGATGTAAAGAAAGTATACTGCCCATGTGGTGGTAGAAAACTATTAATACTATAAGAATAGTATTACAGTAAAAACAAATATACTGCCTATAGAAGAGTGGGTGCTCTGGTATCTAGAATGATGGTCTTTTTCTCAAGAGACAATCCTCCACTAAAGAATTCTTACATAGGTAGCTGTCATGAAGTCCAATTTACTTGTCTCTGGAGACACCACTTTGGATTGGTTGCAGTTCAAGGCTTAGAATCTCGAGCTGAGTCTCTAGTTTTTGTAGTTCTGGAGACCATGGCAACACCTAATTGAACTTTTCTAACAAAGTACTTCATGTATTTGTTTTTGACAGTTCATCCTTTGCTTTATAGCATATCTGTTAAGGCAGTTCTAGCCAGTCAAGTCAGGAGTTGAGGGGAGGAGGGTTCAGTTTTGGCCATTAGACATTTTAACATTAAAAAATAATTCTTAGTTTATTTCTCCTCTAATTTTTTTATATTCCTTTTGTTTATTTTAGGTTTATTTGTTGGCTTTCTATTTTTTAAAATGCATATTCAGTTCATCAGTCATCTCATTTTCTATTTTGTTAAAAATGTATATTTGTAGGAAGAGAATTTTTCCTAGAGGATTGCTTTAGCTGCATCTCAGAATAGATACTCTGGAAACTAAACAAAACTATAGGAATTAGAAATAAAACTAAAAGTTGGTTCTTTGGAAAGACTAGTAAAATTGATAAACCTTTAGCCAGTCTGATTAAAAAGAGGGCAGTAAATCAACAAACCAACAAAATAGCAAACAAACAAAATGAAATTACAACAAAACTGAAAGTTAGAACCTGCTGTGCACAGTTTTATGCTAACAAAACTGACAGCAAAAAAGAAATAGAATGCCTTCAGAAATAATAAACTAAATGAAGACCAATTGGAGGTCTTAAGTAATTCAATCTCAGAATAAGAAATGGAAACTGCTGGGGCAGGTAAGTGACACAGTAGATAGAGCACCAACCCTTGAGTCAGGAGGACCTGAGTTCAAATGTGGCCTCGGACACTTGACACTTACTAGCTGTGTGACCTGGGCAAGTCACTTAACCCCATTGCCTAGCAAAAAAAGAAAGAAAGAAATAGAAATTGCTGTAAGGGAACTACTAAAGGGGTGGGGGGAAGAATGACTCAACTCTGATGGATTCACCGGAGAACTCAAAACTTTTAAGGAATTAGTATCGATACTATATAAATTATTCTCAAAAATTGAAAAAGAAAGCACCCTACTAGATTCTTTTTATGAGTTAAATACAGTTCTAGTCCTTAAACAAAGGAAAAATAAAGCACAAGAGGAGAACTATGAGACCAATATCATGAATATTGGTTCAAAACTTAAATCCTTTCAGACAAACTGTGGTGGTTCACCTAAGAAATCATCATGACTAAGTTGGATTTATGCCAGGGATAAAAGGATGGCTCCTTTACTAGATAAAATAATAAAATTCATTTTGAAAAATAAAAGATCTGAATATCAAGTTAAATAATGAAAAGAGGTAGGGACAAAAGGGGAATGGCGCTTTCAGACCTCAAGCCATATTATAAAGCAGTAGTCATCAAAGTCATCTAGTGCAAGCTAAAATATGTATGTGTATATATAATTAAATTTTGTTTTAACAGGGAAAGACATTAACAATTTGAGAGATATGTACAGTCACTATTGACTTGTTAGTAAAAAGAATTTGTAAAATTTCAAAGTGGAAAAATAACAAGGAAAGCACATGAAATATATAAACCCCAAAACTATAAACAGGTAACTAAAAATAAAAAATGAGAAATGGACAACAGAATTGGCATTGCCTCAGACTAGAATGATTTCATCCAGAAGTTTAACCAGTATAAATTAATTGCCACAACAAGGAGACCAAAAGAGCCTGGAAAATGCTTTAGTCAGCAAACAACTGACTTCTTTGCCAAACAGAAATAGCTAGCAAAGTTAACACCCACTTAAAATATGTGGTGAACAATCATGAGTAATATTGTTTTAAAGCAGAGAGAAACAGTAGAGGATAAGACCAGTTTAAAGAACATGTGAGAAAATATCCAATTAAACAAAGTCATCCCAATGGCATTAAAGGATAGAAAAGGAAAGACTACAAACAGGAAAAAAAAAAAAAAAGGAAAAGATTAGAATAGTTAGAAAGGGTCCTAAAGAAAGAAGTGAGGGGCAGCTAGGTGGTGCAGTGGATAGAGCTCTGGCTTTGGAGCCAGGAGGACCTGAGTTCAAATCCAACCTTAGACATTTGAAACTTACTAGCTGTGTGACCTTGGGCAAGTCACTTAACCCCGATTGCTTCACCAAAAAAGCAAAAAACAAACCAAAAAAAGGAAGAACTGAAATAAGAAAAAAACAGCCAGATTGGCTTGTGTATAGAGGAGACTTGTGCTGAAGGCAATAGTGAGAGCATGGAAAGAGGTATCTACAGGAGAGGGAAATACCAAAGGTGTGGGAAAAGATTTCAGACCCTATTAATGCTAAAAAGAAAGAAGAAAGAAAGGAAAGAGAAGAGGAAATGAAGGGAGGGAGGAAAAGAAGGAAGGAAGGAGAGGAGGGAAGAAAGGAAAGGAAAGAAAAGCAAAGAACATGAGAAAATCTATAATTGACAACCTATGTGCTTATTTTGCCAGCTATACATCATTCTTTGCCTTGGACCTCTTTTTTTTTCCAGCAATGGTCTTTTTTGTTGTTGTTGTTGGTATATTGTGTGTCTTTATTCAAAATATAAAGCTTCTTTGTCAATCCAAGGACATATGAAAGAAATGGGTAGATAAAAAATATGTATCAAATATAGTAATAAGGGCCACAAAGGGGAAATCCAAGCGGTGCATTAAATGCTTGGATGTGCCACAGGAAATTATGTAAAGAGATTGGTCTTTTTTTTTTTAAAAGAAAACTTTTATATTTTGTGAGGTAAGTGTTCTATAAGGTTTAAAACACTACAAATCAACTAAGAAAAATTTCAATGACAATTTTTTTAAAAGGTTAAAAAATTTTTTTTAAATAGTCTTAGGAGTTCATTTAAACATAGGACCTTTTCACTTGTCTCATGTTGTTGTACTATTCAGTGACTAAGTAGAAATACAAGTTGAGTAGGCTTTATTATTTAATGCTGATTTTATCCATTACCAAAAAGGTGATTTTAACTGTGACCCTTGCATAAAAACAAATCTTGATATCTAAAAGCAAATGAAATTTCTAATTATTTCTACTCTGTACATTTCTTATTAAACTGTAGTCATCCTGGATATTTTAAAATTCAACCAAGTAATGATAAGTGGAATGGTTACTATTTATGCTATAATATGTTTTTGGTTATATCAGACAAAACTTTCTTTTACAGTCATCTTCAAGAATAGGGGGAAATCTTCAGATGCAATGGTTTGTATTACATTTTGTTTTATGTTTTGAAAATTCTAGAAAAGCTTTGACCAACTTCATTTAGAGAGAATTATAACTTTACTATTAAGCCCTGCTTGGGGTTCTAATTCTCTGTGAACATACTAAAAGAAAAAAAGTCAATAAATTAAAAAGCACTGCAACATAATGTTCAATAAATCCAAGAACAGGCACTGAGGTAAGGACTCTTTTTGTTGTGAGGCAATTGGGATTAAATGACTTGACCAAGGTCACACAGCTAGTGTCAAGTGTCTGAGGCCGGATTTGAACTCAGGTCCTCCTGACTCCAAGGCACCACCTAGCTACCCAGGACTTATCATTTTAAAAAAATTGCTGGGATAATTGGAAAACAGAACAACTGGGTGGCACAGTGGATAGAGTGGTAGGCCTGGAGTCAGGAAGACCAGAATTCAAATCTGGCATCAGATATTTACTAGCTGCCTAGCCTTGGGCAAGTCACTTAACCTTGTTTGCTTGAGTTTCCTCATCTGTAAAATGAGCTGGAAAAGGAAATGGCAAACCATTCCAGTATCTTTGCCAAGAAACCCCACCCCGCAAAAAAAGGGGCCATGAAGAGTCAGATATGACTGAAAACAAATGAACAACAAAAACTGGAAAACAGGCTTGTAGAAATTAAATTTAGAACATCTCACACCATGTACCACATAATAAACTTCAAATGAATACATGACCTAGATATAAAAGTTCATATAAATTAGGCCAGAAAAAAAAGGAGAAACTCTCACAGCTAAGGAAAGGGACTTTGCTTCACTCAGCATATTTCATTGATCCCATTGACCAAGTGGGAGAGAAACGATTGAAAGAGAGAAAAAGAACAATCTTAATTCCACAAAATTGAAAAGTTTTTGTATCCAAAAAAAAAAGGGAATGTGATTATGATGGGTTGCTTGTGCTTGGACTGCAGCCCTAGGACCATATCTCTCCCCAGCCCAAAGACCCATCTCTGGCAATAACTCATGAGTGGGCCCAGTGAGGCAAACTATCTCTCCCTGTTACAAGAGCAAGCTGACCTCTGTAGAATTTCCCTTGTATGAACAGGACTATTTTGTACTAGCAGAACTATCATTTACTGATTCCCACAGTAACCTCTCAATACAGAGGTCAAGCTATAGACTGCAATTCCCAAGGCTATCTTGTTACAAATATACAGACCCCTTAGAAGGCCCCCCTCTGCTGTGCCCCTAGGGTTTCCAACAGTGAATGACACCTGCATCCAAGGTACAGAAACTGTATGTCACCATATAATTAGCATATTTGGCACACAATGCTCTAAATTATTTTTATATAAGCTTTAGCACCACCCCCATTAGGTTTCAAGTTCCCTAGAGCACCAGACCTGGATTCAGGAGGACCCAAGATCAAATCCAGTCTCAGACACATAACACTTAC